TGAGAACCCACGGCTCCTGGAGCTGCAGCATCCATCTATGCACATCAGCAGCTTTGGTCAGGAGAGAAGGCTCCATCCCTGCAGCCCGACACCACGTGCACCTCATGGCTTTGGAAAGTGCACATTTCCCAGTCTCCCAAGGAAGAGATGTCATTTATGTGATGTACCTGCAGCCCCTCAGCTGGGAAGCCCAACAAACAGGCACAGCACAACCCCAGATGGGGCACACACATAACCAGGCTCTTTGGCCAAAGACACCCGAGGTCAGTAAGTGATGGAGTTACACTGTTCAGCACTGCAGATGCAAGTAAAAGCCCCAATGTGCCTGCTGCACCCCCTTCACATCATATTCAGAGAGGTCTTTTGCAGTTTGGCGAACAAGAAGACAAAAAGCAGAGCGTGGAGGCCCTGAGACACATCCCAGCATCCACAGCAAGGTCCAGCCATAACAGAGGAGCTAAGAATTTCCCTTCAGTTTGCTCTTGGCTTTCAGCTCTGCATCTTTTTTTTTGCCTTTTTCTTATTGTGAAAGGAAATTTGAGCTAAAATTCAGCCCTGTAAAAATTGGCCTTTCCCAAGGTACAAATTTTCCCATGACTATTTCCTTAAGCTGCAAGCTTATGAGTCAAAGCTGCTGTTATGAAAACTTTTCATAATAGCATCTACAAACCTGTCGTGAATCAAGACCCCACTGCAGCAGACAAAATGTGAAAAAAAATAAATAAATCTGTGTTCCAAAGAGATTTAAAAAGTCCAAGTTGAAGAAAATGATCTTATGCAATTGAATTTACAGTGCAGTCCTCTTTATAATTACAGTTACTGTGCAGAGCCCTGAATGGAGGATAGATCAATGCTAGAAAAAAAATAAATGTATATTTAAAAAATAATGGCATATAACCCTTAAAATGCTAGAAAAACCAGGCATGTCGCAGACATAGAAGAACAACATGCTTGTATACACCACGATGCAGGACACACACTGAGCATCCCACTTTTTGAACAAATCCCTTCTCTTTGTTCAACAGGGCCCAAATCCTCTTCAGCATTCCTTGCCCCTGTGCAGAAAGAGGATTCCACTTGGAAAGACGCGGATCTCAGCAAAGGCATGCGTGAGAACAAGCAAGATTAGAGATGCGCAGGGACGAGGGCGCAGAGGGCGTCCACACACAACGAACACACAGAAAGCGGCTCGGGAGGCTCACTCTACCTTCACTGCCATGATCTGCCCGCTAGGCATGTGCCGCATCTTCTCCACCACCCCGTACGCACCTCGTCCCAGCTCGGAGATGGGCTCCAGGTCATCGGCTTTCACCTCAAAGTTCTGCAGGGAGGAACCCGTCAGGAAAAAGGTAGATGCAAGGTGTAAAACACACCCCAAATCTAACCCACATCCAACCCCGCTGAGCACACGAATTCATCTCCCTGCGTCCCCCTCCTTGCCTGCTCCATGAGGCTGGAAACAAACCCACGGCCCTCAGGGGCTGTCGGGAGGATTAACTGCTCTGAAATAATTAGCAGAGCTCTGGAAAGGCCTAGTGCATGAGCAGGGAGCCTGCACGGAGAGCACCCTGAGCAGGATGGGTGCAGGGAGGGTGCTCCTTGGCAGGGTGCTACAGCCACCTACACCCAGCCACCGCTCAGCCTCACCACGAGTTGGGATGGAGAGCACCCCAGCAGCCTCTCCCCAGGGAATCACCTTCAGTTTCCCTTCTTTCTTTTTTTTTTTGTTTGTTTCCTTCTGTCGTTCTCCTCCCCCAATCATGGAAGTATCACCAATTTTTCTTAAGGCCCATAAAATCTGATTTCTGCATCCCTGCAGATCGGCCAAATACTGAGTGCACCCCATTTTTAAGCCACGAAGGATTTATTTCGTCTAGCACTGGAGATCTCTTTCTCCTGGCCTTACACAAAGGATTACTTTGTTTGCAGCCCTGCATTTTAACCTGCCCCTTCTCCCTTCATGCCGCGATATTGTGCAGCAGCTCTATTTTTTGCTTATTATTATTTTTGGATCTTTAAAACATGCCTTTGCTACTAAAACCGGCCATTCTGTTTGCTGAACGCGCAACCACATCAGTCAATCATCCTCCAGAAAGAAGCGGCTTATAATGAACTGATTCACGGCGCATAATCCCACACCGTTTTTTTGCCTGCACAGCAGAAAAATCCTGCAGCCTGGCCCGTGCCGGCCGGGGGGGCTGCAACGCACGGGGGCCATACACTGCGTTACTGTGCGCCCAGGCTCCGCTGCCTGCTAAAGGAGCCCTCACGAACATTTTTTCGCATGATTTAAGCATCTCTGACACTGCTGCTACTGTTCCGCGGGACCCTCTCCAAGGAGGCACTTCGGCTCTCTCAGGGCAACCCATAAAATTAGCAGCGAAGTTTAAAGGGAGAAGGAGAAAGTGGCGTTCTCCAGGGATTGGGGTGAGTGGAGGAAGGTGGAAAAGGGGAGTGCATCCTAAAGGAACCTGGCTGGACAAGTAAGCAATGGGCCCACGGGACATTCAAGCCCTGACACATCAGTCTCTCCGAGATAGCCACATCCATAAAAAAGACCAAGCTCTGTGTTTTACAAGAGTGCCTCTCTGCACCGTCCAACACGGGCTCTCTGCCTCTGTGCACGGAGCTGTTTTGGAGCACCTGGACTTTCCTTGCCCCTGGAACTGCAGGGGAGAAATGATTTTCTTGGATTTGCTCTAGCAGCAGGCGGTGGCTCTGCCTTGGTGCTGCACCATTTTGCTCCAGAGGCATCTCGCACTCTTTCCACCTTCCAGCCCCTGCTCCATGCCAGGGAAAATACAAAATCCCAAATGAAAGAAAAGCATCCAAAGATAGACAGCATAAAACGCCACTGCATTAGTATTTCACTTCATAAATTAACTTGCTGACACCGAGGTCTATCTTTTGCACCTAATAAATTTATTACCCAGCTTTAAAGTGTTTTTTATGAATGCTGCTGTGCCGTTTTCTCCTATCAAAATAGCTGCCCTCGGTTTTGTTTTTCTCCTGCTATGTTTTTATAGCATCAGGTGGACCGGTTTCCATGCTGTCAGAAGGATTTGCTTCCAGGACAGGAAGATCTACCCTGAGTCAGGCTCTTGAGAAGGCCTTCGGTATTAGCAAAGGGAAATACTTTGGATGAAGGCTTTAAATCAGCAGAGCAACTGCAAAGGAGAGTAAAATCTCACGCTAGTAATCCCCTCACTTTGTAACGGATATTTCCAGGGGATTAGTTGCACCTCAGGCAGGGCAGGGCTCTCCGAAGTGGAACACTTGAAGGAGCCCCCGGTGTGATGGGAAGCAAAGGGCAAGCCCCTGGGGGTGCACTGGAGAGGGTGGGGACAAGCAGCAGGTCACAGCCAGCTGCCCACCGGTGCTCTGGGGACAACCCTTGCTGGAGGAGCACCACCAGCAGCCAGCACTTGGCTCCCCAGGGCTGGAGGTGGCTCGCAGGGCTCACAAAAACCAGAAGCAAAATCCCAGCCTGGCTCTTCTCAGCCTCCATGCATCCAGCATCTACCCCCCATTTCATGTGAAATGGGCCATGCTTTTTAAATAGCTGGTGTTTGTCGAACTCCCCGATTTTGGCTGCAATTAAGAAGGAAGCAATCCCAAAAGCAGCCTGCGTGGAGAAGCAGCCAGCACAGGACGGGCACCTGTCCCCAAAGGTCTTCTTCTCATCGTCACTCCCAGTCTTACCTCCTCACCAATAGAGATGCAGGCTTTGGAATCTAGATCCCTGGGTGGCCTGCAGGAGAGAAGAGGGAAGAGATGTGAAATGTTCCCTGAAAGGTCAATTTTTCCCTCAACAAGTATTCACAACCCCCAAGGACCCCTGTCCATCCCCTTGCACCAGGAAACTGGCAGCCCTTGCAGCCTAACGGTAGCTTTGCAGGATCAATAAATACAACCAGAATCCACAGAGTCACCCCAAAAAGGGGTCAGGAAGGCAGCCGCTGGAGCTGGCATTTCTCACATCCACACCCCTGTGCAGGAACCCAGAGATCTGTTCCTTCAGCAGCTTGGTGTTGGGCAAGGCAAGTGAGGTGACAAGCACCAAATCTCTGTCAGCCCGTATGAAATATGGACTAAGTGGGCATAAAGGTCAAAAGCAAAACCTGGTTTCCGTTAATCCTTTCCAGAAATAGCTAAGACAAGACGGGGAGGGCTCAGCCTCTCACCACATCCTCCCCCTTGCTCCCCGGGCAGGGAGGTGTCAGCTCGGGGCTGCCCAGGGATGGAGCTCTCAGGGAGCCCCTCATTTCCAGCACTGCAGAATCGGTTGTTTTTACCAAAAAACATTGCCCGTACCACGTTCTTCTGCTGGACACAAGGTATGGGGTCGCTGACCTGCCCCATTAAACCCCAAAAGGGAGATTTGGGCATCAGCACGGTGTGCACCCAACAGCTGCTGCTCCAAAGCACCCAGGGGCAGCGGGATGGAGCTGGGGCTGTGGGGGGCAGGAGGGAGGGAGAAGAACAGCTGGGGGTTTGCTAATTTCTTTCTGAAATGGGGTGATCAGCCTGAAATTATTCCCATGTGAGGGCCACGTGGGTTAAAACGGGGTGTCCACCCTGATTTTTTTTCCTTTTCCTGGGCACATCACAAAGCAGCAAAGACACGGACCATGGGTAGAGCATGATGGACAGAGACCCCCGAGGTGCAGCAGGGGAAGAAATACAAGGGCTGTCAACTCTGCTCCTCCCCAATGGTGCCAAAATGAACCCAGTCATTCTCCTCACGAAGGGTTCCCGTTATCCTGCCCTGCAAGGACAAGCCCTGGCTGCTGGCTGTGACCGGCCCAGCCCCAGGAGCAGAGGCACTGGAAGGCAGCCGGGGCTCGTGGTTTTCTTTTTCTTCTCCCTCAGTGTTTGGCGACTTACGTGGAGCTTGTCTGTGGTTGCTCAAATGCTTCTTTAGGAATTTTCAGCCCAGGGTTTCTCTTCTTGCCTGCGAAACGAGAAAGGGGCAGAATTAAAGAAAGGTCTTTTTTTTTTTTTTTTTTGGTTTTAATTTGCAAAATGCAGCTTGTCTATATTTGTTGACCTTACTTAACATAAATGCCAGGCCAGGCTGGTGGTGTAGACTCAGGGCACAGAGTTCAAAACATAAAGTGCCTTTGTTCAGTAATGCTTCATTTAGACCTGCAGGGTCTGGCTGCCAACTTGGTACAGAAAACAGGCAAGAGTCCTAGCATGCAAAAAGGCCACGTGAAAATGCAAAAAGAAAGGTATTTCTCCTTCGTCAGCCCTTCCCATGTAGGATCCCTTAAAACGTTTCTTCGACAGATTTTAACCATTCCAGCTACAGTACTGCAAACCCTGGCGGGATTAAAAATCCTTTTCAGGTTGAATCCGAAAATCCCGAACTAGATTCCGATTTTGTTTTAAACTGACGTTTTACCTCCTGGCCATTAAAGTTGTGCAAACCCAGCAAAAAAATACAGCAGAATGAAGTCTGCAGGCTTCAAAGCCATTTGTTTCTGTTCACACTGACCAGCCAAGCCTTGCTGAGCTGGATGCAGCTCAAGCTCTGAAGCAGTTCAAATGCAGGCTCTCCTGTAAAGGGGGTCCAAGCCGGCAGACGTAAGAGCCAGGCAGACTAGAGAAATACAAGAACCTTTTTATGACTAAACATATACAGCCACATTTCAGCACGGGGTTTTGGATTCATGGATAAAATAACCTGGAAACATAAGTCATGTCACCAAAACCCCAAGGTAAACATCTGGCTGGTTGAGCGTGTAATAAAATCCCTGGTCCCCCAAAAAAGGCACAGGCGTCTAATTTAGGCTTTAAACATTTTCAGCCTAACAATTTATATCAATTACTGTCTTTCTTTTAAGCCTGAGCTCTACTCTTTATTCCCAGCACTCTCCTTCAAACTTCACCTATACATGTTTGGGTTTGTTTCTCCCCTTGACACAAACCCAGGTCGATGGATGTCTGCGCATCCCAGTGCCGGAGGGGTGCTAGATCAAAGCGCAAGCACCCAGAACTGAAAATGACCTTTTTGAAGCAATTAGTCAACTCAGATTGCCAACCTTTTTTTTTTTTTTTCCTTTTTTTTTTTTTTAACATTTGCTCCAAAAGACAAGATCGTGCTCGCTCCGTTTGGCAAAGAGCAATTCCAGGGGATGGGACAGGCTGCTGCAACCCAGCTGATGACACCTCGTGGGAAAAGCATTTACTGGAAACCACTGTGCACGCTCGCTATTGTCATTAGAAATTTGCAGAGCTGCAAACTTACAAAGCAAAAAAAAAACAAAACAAAACAAAAAAAAAAAGCCAGTTCTCTGCTCCAAAGAGCTTCCAGTCGAACACAGAAGAGGCAAAATAAAAGAAGTGGGGCCACTCAGAAGCATGAGGAACAGCTCTCAGATTTTCCAAGAGGTAGAAGCTGGTTTGTAGGGAAGTACAAATAATTGTAAAAACAAGTGCAGGAATTTCTGCAGCTAGCAGAGCTGTTCTTTGACCCTTTTACTGCTTTTCGTAGTTGCACACAGAGGTCTCCAGAAGGCCCAGCTGAGAAGCAGCCCCTCCTGTACCACTTCTTGCCCAAACCGCCTCAAGTGCATTTCGTATCCAACAGGATGCTAAATCGGTAGCGGTGTTCTCGATGTTGTCATCTTTTAGCTAAAAAAAGCATCTCCAAAACACAGGTCCTGCAGCACGAGCAAACAACCCCCTGTTTCCCTGGCAGCCTCTAAGTCTGCCGTTCCCGCGGCCTCTCTGCCTCCAAAAACCTGTCTGCATCCTCTCGCAGTTTAGGCAAACAAGGCAATCACAGGCATGTGAAAATCTGCATTTTCATCCTTCTTTTGCACATGGAAATGAAGACAGAAATTTGCTGAACTGCCCACGGAGGCAGGACCTGCCTCTTTAACTCTAGAGCTGAACTTTTCCTGCTAACCCTCACCAGCCATCCCTTGGCATGCTGCTACTTCTGCACATCGAGCATCCGTCCAGCCACACAGCTGCTATGATACACACGCAACCACCAAAATAAAAGGGAAACAAGCAGATATTTACTCTCCTTTTTTTTTTTCCATTCTATTTTTTTCCTTTGTGGATTTGCTTGCACCTCAGGAACCTGAGAGTTCTGGGAGGGTGTAAAGGAACCAACTAGAAGTGACCCTACCTTGAACATGAACCAGAACAGATTATGAAGCATTTAATCTTCCCATGGTTCACAAGTGGTGTCAGCAAAAGAACTAGGTAGCAAAACACCAAACCCAAATAAATATTAAAAGCCTTCCGCCTCCTGGTGAAATAAAATCTGCACTTTGGGGAGTTTATTTTCCTTGTCTCTTCTTCACAGAATACAATATTTTGAAACTTTGCCATTTTTTTGAAGCACAATCTGCTCTCGTATTTGAGCTGCCAAGACACAGACGCAGTTTAACGTTCTTTGGGGTTTTCTTTTCAAGACAGAAGAAAGCAACAGAGGCGGCACGGAGCGCACATGGCTCGGGAGAGCACAGGGAAGGACGCGAGTGGGAATCACCACGGAGGGGATGCACCCACAGCACCCACACCTCCTGAGGACCCGCTCCCCATGCCAGGGTGTGATGGGTCACCTCTGCACTGCTACCCCCCTGCTGCTTGTGTAATGAATGTCAGGCTGCAAGCACATGGTTTCATGCCTCTCAACCAGATCAAAGGGTCTTGGCTCCTTTTGTTTTGTGGGATGCAAACTGCTCGTCCCTCTGAACCTCCTGGGGCCGGGGGCTGCAAGTGCCTGGTGGGCAGCATCAGCCATCCTGCCCACAAAGCCAGGTAGCATCAGGCATCCTGAGCATGAAGCGTTAGCCATCCTGAGCATTTGAGCATGAAGTATTAGCCATCCTGGCCACAAAGCAGCAGCCATCCTGAGCATGAAGAGCATGAAGCTCTCGCTCAGCTCCCAGCTGCATGGGGGATCTCAGCTGAGGCTCTGCAGCTGCTCCAAGACACAAGCCCCACTAAATAAAATGTCCTGCAAAGACAGGGAGGGACCACAGCGGGCAAGCAGCGGGGATGGCAATAAAACACCCGGTGCCCAAGCTGCTCCTTGCATGCGGGTTTGCAAAAGAAAATTAAAAAATCCTATTTAAACTAACCCCGATCCCTTTGAGCATGCACATCGGGGAGGGTGCAAGCAAGCAGCGTGGCCTAGGCAAGACCTGCTCCCAAACAAACAATACGTGGGAAAGTCACAGCAAGGGACCCAGGGAAGGGGGACAGCACCGGGTACCCAGCGCATCTGCGGCCACATGGCTCCAGCGCCCGTGCCAGGGGCAGCGTCCAGGTGCTTGGGGTAGTTTGTCCCCAGAGGCAGGGCTCTTTTTTAAAAAAAAAAAATGAAAAATGTTAGTTCCAAGATCAGTACTCTGCAACAACAGCTGCCAAGCAAGCATCTCGCTGTCAAAATAACAGCCTCCACTTCACCACAGCAGACGTCGCTTTCGAAAGACGACGCCGTGCGGAACTGCAGTCTGCAGAAAGTCATCCGTGCAGGAGCTCAAAACGTGGAGGCAGCTGAACAGCACACAGAATTGGTTGTTACCTGCTCCATCCACTAGAAGGATGGTGTTTTTCAGAGCGTTTTCGTGAATCATTATTATTTTTAGCTTTGTTTCCTGAAGAAAATCACCGCACATGTATTTATCCGACTGTCTGCGTCCCTGGTGGTAAGCGTAAACCCACAGGCTGACCTCAGCCGTGTCTGACAGAGAAACTGAGCTCTTGGAGACTGCAGATCTGGTAGAAGCAGGTGACTGAGGAAGTCCCTGACTCAGAGGAAGGCTGAAGCACCAAAGCCCGTGGGGATGCCAGCCATTCAGCTGCAGCCTGGAAAATTCAGCTGCAGCACCCAGAAATCAGGAGTCGTGTCCCGCGTAATCAGCCCCAGGTGGCTGGCTGGTCTGGGAGCCTGCATGCTAAAGCTCATTTGAAAACTCTTCCCTGCAATTTTCCACGCAGAGACTTTCACAAACACTTGACTCAAAAGCCAGGTTTTAAGAAAAAATGTGACAAAAAAAAATAGACTGGTTTTGAGCAGGGCACGGAGATCTCCCAGCCCTGAGTTCTGATTCAGAAAAACATCTGGGGCTCTCTGCAATGCTAAGCACAAACTTACATCCACTTTCTTTAGCACAGCACTTGCTAAATGCTGCCCTCACCCCTTTTGGGAGCCCTCAGTGCTGCCCAGGGGGGCACAGCATGAGCCCCCCTGCCCCAGCACCCACCCCATGCCTGTGAGAGCGAAGTCCGAAAGCAAACCTGCAGCAGGAAAAAGAAAACCTTAATGAAAACACATTAAATACTTCCCTGTGAAGGTCTTAAATCCAATTCCTGAGGGAGGGGAGGAAAATACGTCTGCCAGTGGGCCTGTTAACCTCTTCCCACCGCCGCTGCCCAAGCGCGCAGAATTACTGTCACTGGCCCCTTCCAATTAGAGCGATGTTAAATAGCAATATCGGAAAAGTGAGACCTCAAAGTTTCACAACAGAAGGGTAAGAAACAGCAGAAAATAAGAAAGAAAGGGAAGACAGAGGAATTCGCTGCCCACATACACTGTAACAGAAAATAAACCTCCTCTTCTGAAGGCAAATCCCATTCCCCAGTCTCCAGACTTCTCATTGCAGTCAAAAACTTTTTATGATATAATCCAAAGTAAATGGTTCCTTGCCACAAAAAGCTCCTATTTCCGCGAAAGGATATTAACCAGTTCTGTCTTCACCACAATTTATTATTAAAGCCGTGTTTAATGGCCGTGTAGCAACACTTTCTTTCAAATACCTCTCCTTAGCACGCAGTCCGCTGGTAAAATTTCACAGGAGGGCAATGCCTCTTTCTGCCCCTTTTCTGAGAGATAAAAGTGGCTCATTACTATTCCCAGCTTTCTCAAGGATTTGGGGTCTGATGTTCCTGAAAGTTTTTGAAAGCCAATCAAGCCAAAAAGGAGCACCCAGTAGCACAAAGCCACCGTGAGATGCCTGGAGCAGGGAGACACGGGCGGGGTGAGGGGCTAAGGGGCACCCACCCCCCGTTCGTAGATGCACAGCTTTAGCCAAGCCCCAGTTTCTGGAGAAAAACAAAAGCTAGGTGATCACATCAGCACCGGTGACATGGAAGTGGGCTGGAAAAGCTGTTTTCCAACCCCTCATTGAGCCACAAAAAAGGAATTTAGCATGCAAGAGGCTCTTAAAGGCTGTTACAGTTTCAATCAAAAGCCAAGGGAAGGGCTGAAGTGGATGCTGTGCTTTCTTTGCCTCCTCGAAATATAATTCAGCTGCTCTCTCCTTAGCCCTGACAATAAATAGGCTCGGCCAAGTGCCACTGGCTGCTCCTCCATGGCTCCATCAGCACCTGGACGGGCTGGAGGCAGCCAGACAGCACGATGGGGAGTGATGGGGAGCGTGGTGCTGCTCCGTGCCCAGCAGGGACGGCTCCTGCACCTCTCCCATCTGCATCTTCCCTCCTGGCCGCTTGCAGTAACGCCTTGGAAACGGCAAACTTGGGATCGGTTTCCTTAACAACTCAGCACGGGGCTGCTGGGGGAAGGGGCCAAGCTCATAGGGCTACAGCAGCTCCTGGCTCACAGATCCCAGATCCCTGATCCCAGATCCCAGCCCCATCCTCTTCCTTGCATTTGGTGCCTTGGAGCTCCCAGCTCCTTTGGGGGTCCTCAGCACATCCAGGTCTGGACACATCATCACCATCACCAGCCCCACTCCTGAAGCATTCTTATTTTTTAATTTTTTTTTTCCACACAAACTGTATTTTGGGACAGGAAGCAGGAAAAGCAGGGGTGCTTTTACGACTGTCATGGATACAGCAAGATCCGGCACCAGGATATGCCCAAAACATGGCACAGAGATACCACGGGATAGCCCCAGCTTCCTCTGATCTCCCAGCCCTCTGCTTTTCCTCTTGTGCTTTTCTCCAAAAAAAAATCAATCAATCAATTAGTCTTATCTAATATAGCAACACTGGAAATGCCAGCGGGCTGAAGGGAGTGCTCGAGTCCTTTTCCCTTGGTCTTTTCCTCTGCCTCTCCTTTCTGGCTCTGACCATGCAGGGTGTCCGGCTCCTACAGACACCCCACGGACCCAGCCGCAGCCAGCCCATCACCCAAATTCCCCTTGGTGAGGAGATAACCTCAGAACGGCAGCCCAGAGGTGGTTAATTCCCTCTTCCCAAAGTCAGCCTGAGCAGTAAGAATACGGAGACAGAGAGCCCTGCACCCTGCGTCTCCATCGGGAAAAGCAACACCTAGAAACCTGGAAGCGAGCAGACGATGCTGCAGTCACCTCCTGGGTTAATTCCTGAGGATCCCAAAGCCCAGAGGGGCACACCATGCCATGGGGTGGGCACAGCAATCCCCCCGACCCCGTGCAGGGACACCGTTAGCACCGTGCAGCACCGCTGGGACCGGAGCACGGCGGCCACCCCGTCCCGTCCCATCCCATCCCGCTGCACCCAGCCCCGGGGCCGCCTTGTCGCAAGGCTCCGCTCGCTCCCGTGACTCAGCCCCACAACCTGCAATGAACCCAGCGCAGGAGAGGCCCCAAACCAAAATAGCAGGGCTGTCGCAAGGAGGTGCACCGCCTGAACCGGGCGGCGGAGGTTGCGCAAAGCCGTGCCCTGCTCGCGCCAGGGTTAGCAGTGGCTCGGGGCCCGTCCCCGCTGCAAAGGGGCTGCGTGCCCAATTTTTGTGGTGACTGACAGATGTCAGCTCTGCCGAGCTACACACACAAAGATCTTCGGTTCTGCTGCGAGGTGCATTCAGCACCAGGTCAGCCCTTTGAGCCTGCGTCCAGCAGGGGACGGTTTGCAGCGAGCGAAGCGCTGGCAGAAGGCACAGCAGCACGGCTGGCAACGAGGGCTCCAGCAGGGTAAATCCGCGTGTCCCGCAGCGCAGAAACATGCAGACACATCACCCAACTGTGCCAATATCAGAGCCCATTTCCCTGCCTTTCAATAAGCTCTGCGTTTCGGTAATTCAATTTTGAGGGCAATTTCCTGATCTCCCCCGCTCTGCCCATTTTTCTCTTCACGCAGCCTGCAAACGGGCTGCAGTCTGCAGCGTTTATCCAGGCTGATGAGGAAACCAGAGGGATGCGATTTCTCCTTATCTGCCAGCATATTTTGGTTACGAGAGGCTGCTGGTCCCTCTGATAAGAGTTCCTCATTTTAGAGGAGTTCAGACCTGAGTGCGGCGGGGAAGAGACACTTTGATCGGGATCAGGCCACACGGGGAGAGGCTGAGATGCTTCAGGATGGTCTTTCCTGCCCCACAGCGGGTGCTGCAGCCTCGCTGAGCTTTTATGGGCTTCAGCACCATCCTGGACTCTCCATTGCTGGCACCTTGGAGTTCCCTTCCCAACCCGCCTCTGCCTCAATGGTTCCCTTGCACCTCGCTGCAGCGCCTGCTTGCAGGAACACCCCCGTGGGAGGAAAGGAGACCTGCAGCACCCGCTGCCACGCTCGCAGACCGTCAGAGAGCAGCCACGTGCTCTTTTCTGAGGCTGACAATTCAGAGGAAATCGGGCGGTGACAACAGATCCCAGCTCTGCCAGCTGTACCAGCCGCAGTGAGGGAACTGCAGGCAGCACCGGGCGCAGCACGGGGCCACCCCGACCTTCCTGCTGAGCTGCTGCCAGGGCTGGGCTGGGACCTGCAGGCAGGACGAGGCAAGGCAGAGCCCTCCCCTGACGTCCTGCTTTTCTTTAGAAAACAGATGCGATGCAAACTAGACCGAAATTCATCATGCTTTAGGTGCTAATGCAAGCAGGAGATGGGAGATAGGATGGGTTTGCTTGCCTACGGCTTTCAGAGTAGGGCACAAGAGGCTTTAATATATATAAATAATAAATAAAAAAAAGCTGTTACAACACTTTGGCTGAACCCATCCCACGTGTGCATCCAGCTGCATGAACTTCGGTGGCCTGGGGGAAAGGGCACGGCTCCTTGCAACCTCTGTGCAGGCGGTGGCAACATCACCGAGCAGGAGAGAGACCCACCGGGAGCAGGAGCTGGGGACATCTCCTGGTGGGCAATCCCACCCTGATTGCCCCGAGCTGCCCCCAGCACGAGCCCTGCCCCTGCCCAGCTCTCCTCGGAGCAGGGATGGCGCAGGGGGGTGCAAGGGGGAAGCACGAGGTGCTCCAGCGATGCCCTCCGGCAGCCTCCTGAGCCTCCACGGAAAAAGAGGAGGAGGTGGTGGGCGGCAGGGACCCGGCACAGGGATGTGCACCCTCTGCTTGTGTCCCCAGTGACCCCGTCCGTGGCCGTGGGCAGGTTGCACAAGCCTTGTTTGTGTGCGTGTGCCTCCCCGCCTGGCGCTCGGCTGTGCTGCAATAACGAACGGAGGCAAAAACACGCCTGGTGCTCGGGGCTCTGAGTCACCCCCGGGACCAGGAGGCTGGCAGTCGGTGGAGGAGGCTGCCCACGTGGCACAGGGCAGCAGGGGCACACGCGGCAGGCCCGTTCCCCCTGGTGCCCCCGAGTACCAGCCTGAGCCCACCTGCAAGGGCTGGGGAGGTACCTCCATGAAAACACTGCGTAAAAACCCAAAATGCAAGATTTGACTTGATGCCTGCACACGCCCCATCTCCAGCAGTCTGATGGAAATGCCAAAGGGGCCAAACCCTCTTCTTTTCATCTTTCTTTGCCTATTTTTCCACCCATTGATTTGATTTGCTTTGGTGCTAACGCAGTGCTCCGGCTCCGCAGGCAGCCCACACGCAGCAGAAATCCTCTGCCACCAACCTGCTCCCACCCCAAATGGCCTCAAACCCCACAGTCCTGCTGTACAAGTGGTAACGGCTTGGAGAAACCTCATTAGTGCCCGAGTGATGGCCAAGAGGATTTTGCTTCCCGCGTCCCCACTGCATCCTCCCCCGTTGACCTGGGAAGGATGCGGTGGTGATGGAGAGCCCGGGGAGCAGCAGAGGCCATGGGGAGCCCGCCTGGGAGCCTCGGGGCCTCTCCTCTCACCCGGTTATCATGAGAAATCACAGCGTGGAGCTCCAGGGAGCCGAGCAGCAGAGGGAGTCGCTCCCTCGAGTCACCACTACGCCGTAAATCACACCGGTATCGTCCCCTTGCCAAGGGTCGCTGGCTTCGCTGCCTTCCCCTCGCAGAGCCCGCGTGCTCCGCTGCTTATCTCCAGTTAGGAAATCCACAGGAACTGTTCGTCAAGAGCCTCCAGCCCTCGCGGGGATTTTGCCGAGGGACTTTTGGTTTAGTCGCTGCTTTGTTTTCAAAACCTCGGCCGCCTGCTTCCAGTGGGAGTTTGCTGGACTCGAAAGGGGAGAAAAGCTCTTGGAATCCACCCGCGGAACAAAAGGCCTTTTGTGCAGGAGGGTCTGGAGGACGCGGCTGCTTTCGGGGCTGCCACCTTCGCTTCTCTTTTCTCCCTGCCGAGGAGCACCTGCCAGCGGAGCAGGGGGCACGGGCTGCAGCGCACGCCGGGGACGCACGGACACGCGGACAGACGCCTCCCACTGCATCTTGAGAAACAAGTGCTTCCCAAAAATACATCATGGCATGCAATCACATACGGGTGCTGGGTGACCTCACCCACGCCTGCAACCCTTGGCTGCACTCACGCATTTCCCCTAAATGACTGAGGTTTCACCCCAAAACCCTACCAGGGGTGACCACGCGCAGCCCCGGGCACTGACCCCTCCCCATCGTTTAGCAGCAAGCCTCTTACACGCAGCATAAAAGCAGGTGTCCTCGTGGCCAGGAGCAGGATGCATTAAACCACCACCCCCAGCCCAGCCACTGACACCTCTACTCTTCCCAACCCTGGAAAACTCAGCAGAGGAACAAAACTTTCCCATTGCTCTGTACAAACCCCAGAAAACAATTTCCTAAAGCCCGGCACGGGTCCGCTCCCCACCAGCCCATGAACACCTCTTTGCTGAAGGTCTCACTCCAGTTCCAGTTTTAGTTTTCAGGCTTTTTAAACACACTCAGTGTAGCTGGGTTTCTCTCCCAGCGGGTCCTGTGAGGTCTTTTTGAGGTGTGCTCATCGGGGGCAGCTGCTCCCCGAAGAAAACAGGGACACGCGGGCTGCTCTGGAAGATGAAGGTGAGGTTTGTACCCACTGATTTCAGCTGTGCCGGGGATTTAAAAGCTCAGTTTTGGTGTGTGGCTCCTGCTGTGATGGCTCCCACATTGCAATGGTGCTTAAATGTTAGCACCTGCTTAGCGTGAGCACATCCTTGTTCATGCTGCGTGGATGCTGAGCAGGAACAAGCACCAAAAGACCCCACAGCCTCCCCTCCCCGAGCTACCCTTAGTGGTGGGAGAGAGAAATGTCCTTGTCGACGCAGTCAGGATTGCCACCAACCTGCCTTTGTGCTCCCCCATTAGACACCCCTCTTTTGCTATTTTTTTATTTTTTTTCTCATTTATGAGCACGTTTGCTTATTTCTGTACCAAAATAATCGAGGGTGATACTCGACAGCTCTGGACAGCGCAGCTGGCAGCACCTCCCTCATGCTCCCTCTGCTGGCAATGCCTCCAGGCACCCAGTGCTCCCAGTGCTTCCTCCAACTGCCTGCAAACACGCGGGCACCCACGAGGGGCGAGGGGTGCCCACGGGCAAACCCTGCAGCACCTTTGGGTGCTGCCAGCGCCGGAGCAGCCCCGTGCAACCCAAACCACAACATCTTGACCCTGCCGTCCTTCAGTGATGTGTCTGAGTGTAAAAGCAACTCAAGAAGCTCCGAGCCGTGCAGGTGGAGGTGTGCAGGACACGGAGCAGCTCCTGGGCTCCCAGGGGAGCTCGGAGCCTCGGAGAGGTTTGTGCCAGAAGTCAGAGGGCACGGACTTGCAGCTCATCCTCCAGCCACCTGCTGAGAGCGCACACATGCTCACACCTCACCTAATAAAGTAAAGCAAAGAACAAAAGCCTTTCTGCAGCTCTTATTTCAGTCCAGAAAGCATTACGGCCCTCCTGATGGCACGGCACCGTGGCAGAAGACGGCACTTCTTGCCCCCCCCCTTTTTTTTTTCCAGTCAAGTGTCCCTGACACAACCGGGCAGATTTTTCTCTACCCACATACGTCCACGTGGATCAAACCCTGTTAGGCTGCATCTCTCCACCCAGCCTTCTAAATCAGGAGCTGTAAGTACAAACCTCCCTTTATAAGCCCTTCTGTCAAAGCCTCTACACAAGTCCCTGTGCGAGGTTCCAGGCTGCAGTTTCACTTATACACAGAAACGCTCCCGAATCCGATACCGCTTTCTAAGTTGCAAGAACAGACAAGCAGAAAGGGGAAAAAAGGAACCAAGGGAGAGGAAGGCGGTGTAAATCATCCAGGCAGATCCCTGATGTCCACCCCGCTTGGCAGCAGGACAGAATACACCCCCAGCCTTGTAAATCCTCACGCTCAACTGCAAGCACACCCAGTCCCAGTGACTCCTGCAAAAAAAAAAAAAAACTCTTCCGATCCAAGTTTAACACATGCATGAGGAGATTCAATATCAGAATATGAAAAAATAAAATAAATCAGCTTCTACTGTAAGGTGGAAAAAAATAAATCTCCAGACCCGTCTCCCATCCAACCTCCCAGACCGCTGCCTGCGTTGAGCTGCAGCGAGGCCTTCTGAAAGCAGAAGGAGGCGCTGCCTGGGGAGATGCTCGCACAGGATGGGCCCGAAATGCCGCGCTGGGAGGCGAAGGGAACGCTCCCTGGTGCTGGGAGCGCTGGCATTGTTCTGAGGGACGCACAGGAAGAGTGAGAGGAGGAATGCTCGCCGACTGCAGGAAGCTGTTCCAGCCTCTTATCTGACAGAAAGCTTCTGATTTCATTGCGGGGGCAGTACCAAATGTTTTTGAGGGGGAAAAAAATAAATAAATAAATAAATAATCACATGGTTAGCTCTAAAGGAAGCTGCCTGATGGCATGAATGAAGCTGAAACCGGGCTGGGTGGAAGTGCCTGCCCAGGTACCCACACCATGGCATCATCCCACGGGTCCTGCTGGCTGCCGAGGAGGGACCCGCTGTGAATTTGGGTGCTCTTATCTTCAGCGAGCGATTTACTACCCATAATCTTTGAACGCTGCATCTGTGTCGCCCTCCCCAGCTGCCAGGGGGTTATTTTGGGCTGTTCCTACAGCTCAGATGCTGGTGCCAGGGGCTGTTGTGCGACGTCCCCCCGTGCCGGGCACGGCCCCAAGCTGCTTGTTGAGTTAATTTGTAAAAACCGATTCCTTGGCAGGAGCTCAAGTCCTCCGTCGAGATGCTCCAGGTTTTATTAGCATTGAGCAAATTACTGGCGTCCTTGGGAAAGGTAAGGAAGTCAGTCTGTTAATTGCCTTTATTTTTTATTGTTTTTCTAGAGGGTATCTCCCAGAGGACAGCTCCACGGCACACAGAGGAGCTCTCCGGTTACTGAAGTGCCCCTACAGATAATGGCTGCTGGGGCTTCTTGCACAGGTACGTGAGGAAACTTCGGGTTTAGGTGTGCTAACTGCTTTATCAGGCTTTGTGCTCTGAGCTAAGCACCCGTCATCTCCAGCCTGGTTGCTCCTGGTAGGTTATTAGGGGATTATGGCTTCCAACCCGGAGCTGAAAAAGCAAAAAAAAACCTTCAGAAGGGGTTGGAAAACAACAGTATCTAGAGCGCTGCATTTCTTCTCCTTTAATAGGTTACTCTGTCAACCCCGTGCTTGTTAAATAAGAGAAAAATCTGTGGGCACGCAGGGAAGGTCAATCTTGTGGTTTCTGAAAACATTTAATTAGTACGGTTAAGTACCAAGGTCCTCCTGGGAGCGAGCTTCTGCGTTAACCACCAGCACGGCGCTGAGCAGAGGCAAACCTGCAGGAGGGGCTGCAGGTGAGGTCTGTGTCCATCCCCAAAATTTTAGCGGTGGCCCAGCTTGTGATGAGAGCTGTCACGGTGTCTCTGTCCTGCTTCTAGCTCCAAAATCCGCATGGGGTTTGGAAATCCAGCTCGGATCCTGCTTGTGTAGGAGCTTGGTGCCCCCATCGCACCTCCAGGGACCCATCGGGGCTGCCCAAAGCCCCGTGCTCCTTCAGAGGCATTTCTGCCAAGTGCTGGGGGCCCGTGCTCAAACAAATTGACTCAAGACATAGTTTTGCCCAGAGGGATTTTGGCATCCTGATGACAGCACGTCAAGTCCCTGCTTTTTCCTTCACGGTGCACCCAACTGGAAGAAGGGGGACGGCTGCTCTCGGGTCCTACAGGTGTTCGGCTCCTCGAATAAAGCCACAATAAACGTCGTGCATCTGCTTTAATTAACCCGCGGGCAGTAGCGTGCAGGAGTGCTAGGATCACAGCCTGGCACCTCCTTTACAAGAGGCCACAGCATCAGCTGCCTGAGAGGAGAAATCAATTCCAGTCCTCGCGAAGCCGAACTTGGCTTTAATTCCCGGTGTTTCTGCCGCGCCGGAGACCCCTAATTGTAGGCAATTAAAGCAGCACTAGAAAGAAAGGGCTGTGTTGAAATCAAAGCTGGAAAGCGTGCCTCGAAATGGCTTCCAGTTGCGGGCACTGGAAAAGTGCCTGGGGAGCAAGGGGCCGGTGCCAAGGGCAGCGCTAGGTGCTGCACGGACCCTGCCCAGAGCCACTGCCAGCGGGACCTTCTCAGCCCGGGCACCCTGCTGCAGGGAAGGCTTCTCCTGCACGCAGGTACCTGCGTGGGCACGCAGGGCTGCTTGTGGGGCTCCCATCCTCCTTGGAAAGAAATGGGATGGGATCTGCTGGGAGCCTGTGAGGGATCGAGGCCGGGGAGAGGCAGCCATCGACGCTGATCGAACCCTTCTCACCCTCTTTGCTCTGGGCAGGGCTGTCCGTGCCGGATGGGGACTTTTTGTTGCTCCAACAGCTCCAAAATAATGATTTTTTTTTTTTTTGAGTCATTCTCCATCTGACCTTGAACTACCGGAGAAGCAAGAAACATCCATAAGAGGAAGGATAACGCGAAGCTGTGATGTTCACAAAGCAACTTGCTGCTCGAGTGTCCGAACAACCCCGGCGAAATTTTGTGAGTGAGAAGCGTCAGGCCCAGACCCCACCGCAGGAGGAAAATAAGCACAAAAACATGTTGCTTGAGACGTCCGCGGCAGAGCCGGCACACGATGCTCCGAGGCCATTTGGCACCGGCGAGCGTTGTTTTATTGAGTGCAATTACATATTTTTGTTTAGAAAAAGATTCTCCTTCAAAAGCAGCTCCGGAGCCTTTGCTTATTCAGCCTTCATAAAAAGCCTCTCGCTGCAGACACAGTCAAGTGTTGACTCCTGTACTCATTTTCTATTGCTGCCTTATCTTTGGCATCTCATCTGCAACTTTTACTGTTTTTTTCCACTGGTTTCATCAGAGCGCAGTAAAAGTGGATGTTTTTTGGGCTTCAATTCTGCTAATGATTTTTGATCTGCTCGGTGCAGGCTAGGAAAATCTAGCCGTGATTATAAAATTGCAAGCTAAGTAGGCTAACAAAACAGCAACAGCAAGAAACTGGATCAGCTCTGCTCAGCGGAGTTTTCCTGCTTGAACGGGGGAAAAAAATTAATGCTTTTTCTCTGAAATCTTTCTTACAAATATGAAACTGCCTCAGCCATAGAGGCTGCTCCCTCCGGCTGCTTGCACAATGCTCCTTGGGCTTCGCTGCACTCGGCTTTTTGCAGCAGCCTAATAAGCAATGGCCATCGCTCCTGGGATGATTAATGGGGAGCAAGAGCATCCACCGAGCAGCTCCCACCCCGAGCTGCCCTCCCGATGTGGTCGGATGCTGCTCTCGCCGTGCTCAGCCCTTGTGTGTGGCTACAGGGTGCAGATCCCCAGCGGTGCTGAGCCCAGGCTTTGCCAGCACCAGCAGACGGAGATGTGCGAGCGGCTGCCTGGAGCTTCGACGAAGGATGTTGAGCATCTGTTTGCAACATCTCCAAAGTCAAGATGACTCAGAAGTGCTTTAGCACCCCAGAGACTTTAATGATGGGATGAACTCTCTGAGACGTCAACCAAGTGTTTGGGATTTCCTGCTCGAAGGGAAGGATAGCTTTAATTTTGGCTTTGAGGCAGAAAAGAAAAAAAAATAAAAAAAAATCCCTACAAACAAGAGTGTCGGGCTTCCCCCCTCCAAATTGCTTTTTACTGAGCCAGGGTTACTGTGCGAGGACGCTTTTCCATTTGTACTTGTCAACATGCAAAATAACACGGACTTGGAAGACAAAAGAAAAAAAAACAAATAATAATAATAAAAAAAACTTTTTGCACAATGAGCAGGTCTGGAAATCATACAGAACTCCCTTCACCACATCTGCCACCACAGACCCTAATACCTGGTGTGGTGCAGCTCCGGGTCCTCGACCTGCTTTGGTGCTAGCATTGCTCCAGCTGATAATGGTAATTTCCTACACTAGTCCCAGGCAGGCCCTAAGGAAGGGAGCTAAGCAACTCTACAGGTAATAAAACTGTGATTATTGTAGCTCTGGCTATGGCTAAAATGAAAAGAGCAGTCCTGGGGGTTCTCCAGCCACCAGTGACCCCACACAGTCACACCGTGACCCCATTGCACCCACTGGTCCCCTGCAGCTCCCCAGGCTGGGAGCAGGGACACGGAGCAGGCAGCAGCAGGACGAGCACTGGGCTGCAGGCTCATGGGGTGACAGCAGGTCACCTTGGAAGGGTTTGGGAGCACCTGTGCCCAGCCTTTGGGGTAACAGGTCCTGTCCTCCAAGCGCACCCACAGAGGTCTGCAGGCGTGCTCCTGCTCCTGTGCTATTTGCCTCCGTGTTATTCCTCATTTTCCACCTTTAAGCTCACTTTAGATGTGATCCCTCTCCAAGAGCCTTCTACAGATGATGTTACAGTTCTTTCCAGCAAGAGAAAACAGAGAACTGACCCCAAATGCATGTTTAAAAAAAAAAAAAAAGCTAAACAAGCAAACAAAAACAACTCTGAAGTCATCTTATGTATTTGCAACCACAGCACACAACTGACAAGTCTGCCTTGTGACTTGCAAGGTAATTGTGCTCCATTAATGCCAATGCTCCTGGAAGAATGAAGTGTCTCAGCCCTCTAAATTACGCCTGTGGTTTTAATTGAGTATCATTTGCTTCACCTTAGCAGCTTGCGTATGTGTCACGGGAGGGAATTCACCCCAGAGGAAGATCCTTTTTTTTTTTTTTTTTTTGGCGACTAAACGAAGCAAACGAGCACCACTTCGTGTGGCAGTGAGAAACCCAAACTTTTTTCAGCTAGGAGGAGAAAGCACGTCTTTACTCCTTTTCCTCTGCGACTTATCACTTTTATGGCTATAATTACTTCTATAGCTTGAGCTTTTAAATGTTTATATATTTTCCTGCAGCGTGCTCAGCTCCAGGCGAGCTGCTGCCCTGGCCACAGTTGCTGGCTCTCATGCCACCTCGGTGCCAGGCCATGGGGCAGGGCACCCCAAAATACACTTGGTTTCAGCACCCCAGCACTGCTGCCTGCAGCAGAGGGTTGCCAGCACCCCCAGCAGCACTGCAAGCAAATCCTTCCCCGGTGCACAATGCAGGGAGCAAGACAGCGACTGGAGGCGCTCAGCTGGGTGCCTCGGTCCCCCCTCACTCAGCTGCACCGTGCAGCAATTTGGTTCATGTCAGACAACATTTCCAGCCTAGTACTTTCCACCCCGGCCATCTGCTTTACTTTCACCCCATGCTACTCAATTCCTCCAGCACTGCATTGCACGAGACTTTTAAACTCCTCCGTGTGCATCTGCCCGCACCAAACACGGGCAGACCCCACCACCGAAGCAGCCAGGACATGCAACAGGGTGAGAGAGCGACTCAGCAGGGTCTTTTTTAACAAAATAAAGATAAAAAAGAATGCAATTTGCACCGAACTGGGTTGCATTTGCTACTAGGCCAAGCCTTGCTAGGCTGGCACCTCCCTGGCCATGCCGCGGCGGAGCCTGCCCTTGCCAAGCGCCGCTCAGCGCGGTCATGGCGAGGCGCTGAGGTGGTGCTGACGAGGCACGTTGCACAACCTCCAGCAGCCTCGCAGTGCTCACAGCTTAATTTGACACTAGCAAAAACCTGCCACCTGCCCAGGACAGCGGTTGTTTTTTTTACAAATGTTTTTTTTTTTTTTACCATTGCAGATTTGCGTTTTGTTCCACGGCAATTTCTAGCTGGAAAAAAAAAAAAAAAAAAAAAAAAAAAGAGCATTTTGCACGAAATGCGTTATTCTGCAGAGGTGCAGGGCCTTTGGTCAAAGTCCATAGGGTACACGCTCCACCAGCATCACGTGGGACGTGGTTCTCAGGAGTGCAGGATCCCTTTGCAGCCACAGCACACAAAAATTGTCTTCGAAGCAACAAATTGTGAGAATTGGGAAAGAGATCAATGAGCGGCAACACCCGATAGCTACACGTACCTCACTTCCATGAGCCATTTATGAATTACTGCTCTAATGGCAACTGCTTCCCCTTCTTTTCTCTTACTTTGGCGGAGAAGTTTGCATATTTGCAGGTTGCTCCTCTGATGTGGGCTCCGCAGGTGGGTAATTCCCCCGTTACGATGGATTTGGAAGGCTCCCGAACGTATCTGCTGTCACCAGAGTTCAGATTTATAGCCTCAAACTGCATCTAGCTTGTAATTAATATGGACTTCCGCTTTTTTTTTTTTCTTCCAAAATAATATCCCATTAGTCATGACAGCCAAGTGCTCCACGTTTGGGCAAGGATCCAGCCCCCGAGCCACCGTCACGGCCCAGCCCCACGCTCCGGAGTGGGCTGAGGGACCCTTGGTGCTCGGAGAAGCCTTGTTTTCCATGGGCTACTCCATCCAACTAAAAACACCATTTTGTAGCTGAAGAGAGGAATGGAAGTGGAAAAGAGCAGGCGTCAAAACATGAGAGCTTGCACCCGGTCGCACGCTGTGGATTTGATCCATATTTTGTCAACCACGAAGCCCTGAAGTCCATCCGAGCGCAGGTGGCACAGCTGAATATTGCAAGCACGATGCTGAAAGCATCTTCTGCTTTCTGCTGCGGCCAGGGCCGAAGGGAAGTGCAGTTTCCACGCTCCAGGCAGAGTTTTGTCTCCTCCAGCAGCGCCGTGGCCGTGCAGGAGCCGCTCTCCGTGCGGCACAGGTAGGGGCTGCGGAGCGGGGCTGCGCTCAGCCTGGCGAGGCTCTTTGCAGGGAAGAAGCCCTCTGATCACAGAGCAGCCCTCTCGATTACCGTCCCCCCCCCCGACAGGCAGCACTAAAAAAATTAATCTCTGCCAAATTCTCAGAACAACTTTGGAACCAGTTCAAAGGCAGGGAGAGGGCTCCGCAGCTCGGCAGCTGGCTGGAGCCCTGCGCAGTATTTTAGAAAGCTGACGAGCAACCTCCCCTGCAACACGTGAAAGCTGATCCCGAAATGCAGATTGTGGCTCATTTAATTCATCCCGGGGAGCGATACCTCGGGTGCGAGCCCCTGAGCCTGCAGCCCCTTCCCCAGCAGGACCTGAGCCCGGACAGCTGAGCGCGGTGAGTTATCTGCGCCAGGAATTCCGGCCCCGGCGCTCCCCTTGCAGGGCAGGAGATGGACGGAAAACGGATTCAAGAATGATGCCATTCATTGGGATCGTGTTCTGTGGGTTGGCTACTCGCGTTTGCCCATTTTCCTGGTACTGAGGACGGACAAGGCCAGCGCCGGCGTGCATGGGGGCTGCGTGGTGCCCCAGGGGTGGGCTGTGGGGACACCCCACGGGTCCCTGCCCATCCCTGACTCCTCATGGCCATGCTCTCCCACCCCAGGCTTTGCAGGGCCCCAAAGCAAGCGGCTGCTCCCCACGCAGCTCCTGCCCCCGTGGGTCCTGCAGGGACCCTCCTGCGAGCAGCAGCGAGCTCCGGGTATCATTGCGTTCAAATTTTGCATTATCAAACTTCCTTGGCTCTTTCCATTGGAAACTTTTACAATTCTCTGCTTGGCTGGAAAAGATGACTGCAGCAAACCCAAATTAGGAATAAATTATACAACAACTTTACATTTTTCTTACAAAGGAAAACTGTGTGGCAAGAGCTGTGAAAGCACCTCCTTCCTATGTCCTCCCAGCGAGGCTGGCAGTGGATGGCCACCGACTTTGCAGACGTCTCAGGAAAACAACACAAAACAAGCCCAAAGCCAGCCCCAGTCCCAGGCTGGGGGCTGCTGTCCCCCCCCAGGGCATGCATTCCCTCACCCCCTGCTCCCCACTCCGTGTGACGGCCAGCAAGATGCAGGAGCAGGCAGCTGCAAGAGCAAATCCACGCGTTCAGAGGAGCTCAGAAAGCTGCATCTGTGTGGCCGGGCGCTGACATATGTGCATCTATTTTCACAATGAATGGCCGGAGCAGCAACTCCTGAACCATCTCCGCCTGCTCCTGCAGGGACTGTTGCATTCCCACAGCAGTTTTTGCAATATTCAACTCCCCAGCTCCCACCCCCCCACCCCCCTCCCTGACACGCAAGCCCTTGCAGGACACAAGGCAGAGAGAGTCCGGAATAACCACCGAGTTTAAAAGCAAGCTCCAGCCTTTCCCACGCTGCTGGCAAAAAAATCACTGCTGTCCCCTACCCAGCCCGGCCCCTCCCGCTGCATCCCAAGCACCGAGCCCCATGCTCCGAAATGCCAAATAAAGCCCCCCCCTGCACGCTCTCAGCGATCCGGTGCTGCAAAGCACACCGCTGCCTCCGACCAAAAGTTACAAAATATTACCGGGGAGGGTGCGAGGGGGGGGGAGATCGCTGGAAAATGATCTCAGCCCTGGCACAAGAACAATACTTTCCCATGGAAACATAGGTATATATTTAATTCCTGGTAACTCCACTCAAGTTTCACCTTTCATCTCGTCCACGGACTTCTTTAAAAGTTTCATTTAATTTTGCACTTGCAATTAGCTCTAATTCTCATGCACCGTGCCCCTTTTGCATGCACACATCCAGCAGCAAACGCAGCTGCTCTTCAACACCCTTTATCTGTCCTGACTGTGCAAAAGGCAAGAAAAAAAAAAAAAAAAAAGAAAAAAAAAAAAAGGGCTCAGCAATCCCCGCAGAAGAATTCAAATAACGTCAATGCACAGCTGAACTGCGAGCCCTGCCTTACAGGAACTGTGTGTGTGAGTGCGTGTGTGGCTGCAAAAAGGCACACGCTAAACAGGAAATGCAACTGAGAGCCACTGAAAAGCCTCAAACTTCAAAATGCAATTGCATCCCGACAAAATGCATGCATGCACTGCGAAATGCATGCACGCCTTCTTGCACGTTTTGCAACGAAACGGAAGCAGGAGCCTTACCTCTCGCCTGAGACATTTTCCCCTTTGCTTTGCTGGGGGGGAGGGGAAGCACAAAAGACTTTGCCTTGCCTCTCCTCTGGAGCTAGTTTTGCAACAAAGATGCGGACTGCAAGCGCCCGAAAAAAAATAAAATAAAATAAAAATAAAAAAATCTTCGTGCAACGAGGTGGGGGGGGGGGGGGAACTCCTCCCGCCCGCCTGCTGCAGCAGCACCACCAGCAGCACCAGCAGCAGCAGCAGCAGCTCTCCTTGCAGCTGGGAAAGGGGGGGGGGGGGGGGGGGGGGGGGAAGGAGAGGAAAGCCGTGCAATTGCACGCTTTGCAGGAGCAGCTTCGGGGGCGGGGGGGGCGGCCTCCCCCCCCTTGGCTTGCACGGCGAGGGCAAGGCTGCGCTGCACCTACATGATGGGCCAGGGCTGGCAGCTCGCAGCTCCAAACTTGGGAGCCGGGGGGGGGGGGAGGCAGAACGCGGAGGGGGGGGGGGCGCGCATTGCGCTCGCGCACCCGCCGCGCAGCCTGTTGGGAGTTGTAGTTTTTTGGGTAGAGTGCCCCCCCCCCCCCCCCCCCTCGGTGTTTCGTTGCCTGCAGGGGGCGGCGCTGCGCTGCTGCGCGCACCCGCGGAGGCTGCGCGCGGAGGAGGGGGGGGGAAAGGGAGGGAAATGGGGGAGAAATGGGGGGAATTTGGTGCTAAAGGGGGAAGGGGGGGTTGGGGGGAGGCGGTCGGGGGTGGAGTGGTGCGGTGGTGGGGCTGTGCTGGGGGTGGGTTGGTCTGAATTGAGGTGGGAGTGGGGAGGGGGTTGTGTGCGCTGCTCTGGTTGCGTCCCTGCTTGCACACCTGCAGGGCATCCCTGCCTGAATGCCCGTCTGCACCCCTGTCTGCATCCCTGCTTGCAGCTCTGCATGCACCCCTTGTATGCATCCCTGCCTGCACCCCCACGTGCATCCCTATCTGCACCTGTCTGCATCCCTGCATTGCATCTCTGCATGCATCCCTGCTTGCATCCTTGCTTGCATCTCTCTGCACCTGCCTGTATCCCTGCCTAAATCCCTGCTTTCATCCCTGCATGCACCCCTGCATCCATCCCTGCTTTTATTCCTGCCTGTATCCATGTGTGCATGCTTGCCTTCCCTCTGTATGTATCCCTGATTGCATTCCTGCTTGCATCCCTGCATGCACCTTGCATGGTTCCCTACCTTCACCCCTTGCATGCATCCCTGTCTGCACCCTGCATGCATCCCTGCATGCACACTTGCCTTCACCCCTGCTTGTCTCCCTGCCTGCACCCTGCCTGGATCCCGGCCTGCACCCTGCCTTTGTGCCCTGCCATTATTTGGTGCTCCCAGCCTGGTGCTGGACTACAGGACACAGTTGCTGCTGGCACAATTTTGCCCTGGGAGTTACCGGGTGCAGGGAGAAGGTGGTGGCTGCTTAGCGCAGGCACTTCCCGGGTGGATTCTTGGGCTGCTGTGGGACTGGGGAAATTCTCAGGGGTGAATGCAGTGGGATGGCCAGGATGCAGGCAATGGGGGGTGAGGAGGTGGCAGCAGCAGGGCCCTTGTAGGCAGCCCCATTGCCCCCTCCACGTGCTGGGGTCAGGAGGGTGTTGCTGAGCCCCTGCAGAACGGGGGATCCTATCCGTGGTGTCCTGCTTAGCCACAATGAACATGAGAAATTGTGGTGGAAAAATGCACTGGAAAGAGCAAAAAATATGCATTCCACTTTGTGCCCGTTGCTTTTAGTTTTTAAGGCACCACCAGAGACAAACCTCTTGTCCCTGCGTTCGTACGGTGCCGGGGGCTCTGCACCGTTGTGCACAGCACGGCGGCGGCCTCGTGGCTGCTCTGAGGCACATCAGGTAGCATTAAGGATTTGTAGCCTTTTTGTCTTCTCCCCTTGCAGGCAAAGCAGATGCAGCAAGCATGTCCCAAGCCTATGGTGTTGTTTTTTTTGCAGGGCTTTAAGCCATGTGGGCCAGCTCAGGCCTTGTAGGCTCGCGGGGGGGGGGGGGGGAGGATACCCCACTGTGCAACTGAGGAGCCCCGCTTGGAGAGACCCTAGGGAAATAAAAGCTCTTGGCCTTCCTAAAGCAGCCCTTAACAATAAATATTTCATTATGGGAACACTGGAACAGCAACAACAACATAAAACAACACCTAAGTGATAAGAAATGTGTGCTTTTAAAGTATTTCCAGCTGAATTAGTGGCAAAGATGCTCGGTTATACCCAGCGAAATGCAGGTGGCAGAGGGGAGCCCCGAGGTGGGAAGCAGCACTGCCCCTTCTCCTGGGGGGTTTCCTAGGGCTGGGCAATGGGAATTGTTGCAGAGCTGTGTAGAGCTTTTCAGACTCCTAAGTCCTGCAGGCTGTGCCCGAATTCCCCTTGTCCCAGGCAGGATTCACCCTGCTCCTCTCCAGCAACAGGCCCAGGACCCCCAGCTCTTCTGTTCACACCATCTCCTCCTCTGGCGTGCGGCGCTTCCGAGCTGCGGGTAGAGAAGAAGGCCTTTTGCCTTTTGAGGACGTGTTAAGTAATTTTTTAAGCACCACGGGAGCTGCTGGCTGCAGGTTTTGTTTACAGCAGGACGCCTCGATTTGCTGCGGAGCAATTAGTCCGGCGGAGCAGACGCCGAAGCAGAGCAGAGCAATCTGTTCTCCAGCGGCTGCAGAGCCGGGAGCCGCGGGGAGGCGACCAGAGAAACCTTGTGCAAGGCTGCGCCTCCCAATACACCTAATTGCCTTCCCCAGGAGCATGGCTTTAATCATCCTGTTGTGGCAATAAGCGGTGTCCTGCCACCTGCATACCTGGGCAGTGACTTTTTGGAGAGCAGCTCGCCAGCTGGGCTGCAGGACGCGTACAGGAGGTGGGGCGTTGCATTTATCAGGGTGACGAAGCCCCTGCAGCACCCGCTGCTGTTTCCCTGCCCGTGCTCCTGCTGATGTGCAATGCCCATCCCTGGGATGCTCGTGCACCAAAGCAATGGTAGCAAAAAGCCACGAAATCAAAGCTCCTGGAGAGAGATCAGCTCTCAGGGAAGTTCGTTGTATGATGGATCCACGAGGCTGCACGAAGAGATGTGATTTCCAAGCCTGGCCATAACTTCTCCTCCAGCACCGACTGTCTCTACGTCGCCCGTTCAATTTTATGCATGGTTATGGCTTGTTTATTCCTCCTTCATCTTGCTCCCTCATTGCTAAGAGATGAATTTGCTGCAGAAAAGGAAAAAAAAATGATAAACACGACGTGGTTTCAGGACACAACTGCAAAATCTCATCTCTGCACTTGTAAAGAGCCGCTTTGCACTGAGGTACGGATTTGTTTTAGGCTTCCCAGCCCACGCTTTGATCGGGGCGATGGAAGGCACGCTGTGCCATGGGGTGTTTTGTCCAGGAAAAATACAATTAGAGGTTTTGTTTTCAGTGTTTGCAGGAATGATTGCTTGCAAATAATCTACAGGCCAAAAATGAATCCCAGCGCTGTGTCCACAAACAATGCAGGCTCGAGGAGCGCTGCTACTTGGAGCCCTCCTGCTTTGCTCCTCCAGCATTTCTTTATCACCACGTTTCCATCTCAGCCACCTGGCTGTTTGGGATGTGTTCCTCCCTGTGCCACAATCCTTCACTGCAGGTTGCAGTTCAGCAGGTGCAGATCCCGGCGCTGTGTGTGCTTTGTACCCACCGAGGCGCACACAGTGCAGCACGGAGAGAAACAACATGGTGCCTGCAGCCCCACTGAGCTCCTCATGCCAGGGCTTTTGGGCTCCAAATCATGCTCTGCCCAGCGCCCTGGGGTGCAGAGGCACTGCTGCTATTACCTAAACCCGGTGTGTATTTTGGGTGATGACCTATGCATGGCAGGATAGAAGTCACAGTGCCTGGGAAGCGAGATCTTCCCAAACCAATACACTTTGTGTATGAAGGAATTGGGCAGGAGGAGCATGGCCAGGCAGCACCCACTGCAGGGAGATGTCGTGCTATCCTACCCTAGGCAATCCTCTCCCCTAGGCAGGATCTTGAGGAATTTGCAGTCATTTTTTGGCTGAGATCAGCCCCAGCAGAGGTGATGGCAGGAGGACAGGCGGACACCAGCCGGTTTCCTCCTGCTGCTGGGGCGCAGCACACACACCTCACCTCTCCTCCGGAGCACAGAAAGCATCGGTGCTGAGCAGGATGAGCACTCTGCTGGCCACAAGGCAGGCAGACAGGGCTGGGCTCACCTCCAGCAGGTGAATTTGCCCCAGGAGTTTCTCCAGGGTGAGAGGGACCAGCTAGGCAGAGGGGGTCTCCGTGGGGACAGCTGGGGATGGAGCTGGAGGAAAAGCCAAGGCGAACAGCGGGTGCAGATGCTGAGGAGGAGAAAAATGCTTTACGAGCGAGGAGGTGAGAAACAATGAGGCATCCTAAGCACGGCCGCTTCTGGGAGCAGAGACCATCTGCTCCTCGTCCTGAATGGTGCCGGGCGATCGCCCCCGTTCTTTTGTTCCCCGATTTAAAGGGGATTGCAGGCTGGGAGTGCTGTGAAAGCCCAGCAGAGTTCCTGAGAGTTCAGCTCCGCCAGGGCTTTTGTTCTGCCTTGCCTCTGCTACTTTTTTCCCTGGTGTTTTCCCTTGCAGCCGCTTGCATGCCACGTGTTTTCCCACTTTGGATGGGTAGAAATGCCGGGGGACACCGCAGCCAGCAGTGTGCTGCCCCCAGGCAGGTGGGGAGCTCAGGGGGGACACTGACCAGAGGGGCAATGACCAGAGGCTGAGGGCTTCACAGCTCATAAACGTGGCAGAGGCCAATATACAAAGCCTGCTTACAGCTTAGGAACTGAAGAAATAATGAAGTTTTAGAGGTATAACCCCTGCTGGATAAGAGTGAGGGGCTGAGCACGCTTCTCCAGGCAAAGCGAGGGCGGTGCTGGTCTCTTTTAGGCTAAAGAAGAGGGGTAGAGATGAAGGTGCTCTATCTCAGATCACTAAGAGCCATGCCATGTGAGCCAGGTTGGATGTTTTACCATTATTTTTGAAAAACGGGAGGCTGATGACAAATTAAGCAGCCTCATACCGCTGGAAACCACTCAGCTGGGAGCTGCTTTTCCTTTGCAGGCTGGTGTGGGTTTGGATGCTGCGAGTATTGCCTGTTTGTTTCCTCTTTGGACTCTCTCCTATCTGCACTCCATTTGTATGCGTATTTTACATATATACAATTTATGTACACATTAAATATACACATGTATGTATGTAAAATAGCTTCTCC